GCACACAATACAGTAAATTCGTGATAACTCCTCACTCCATAGGAAACGGCTCTGTGACGTGTTATCCATATGTATGAATATATAAATAAATGAGGCCAGGATATTGACAGCCTGATGACTTAAGTAGTAGTGACAAGTGAAGACAGGGTTGAGATTACCATATATAATGTGTAAAATACATACAAATAGCCATGCTCAAAATTATCAGTGTTTTGTGAAGAAATAAGTTCAGGTTCTTATGTAACAGCCTGATTGATAGATATCTTGATCCTCAGTGATTTGTAGAGCAAGACTTTATATCTTCGTGGATGATCCTTCTGCGTTCACCTTTGGAAGAGTAAGTGCTTGACCACTCTGGTCTCAGAGGAAAAAGCTGATTAGAATCCCACCTGCACCCGTGACCATTCAAGTCACCAGTGGATGACAAATTCTTTCAATAATCTTTCACTGGGAAAGAGCATTGTCATCAGTAGGTATGTCTGTAAAACATAAAGAGAAGATTCAGCCATAACTGACAAGATACATCTACCCCGCCCAAACAAAGTGTGGAAAGGCGTACTCTAATGCCACGCAGCATCTAGGCTAATGTTGCACAATCTGGGATATATAATAAAAATAATCCTTGGATTTGATATAGTGTTTTATCACATCTTCCAGGCATTTAAAGCACTTCACAGAATATACTGTAAAGTGAATTGACTGTATCTTTTGTGGGCGAAACAAGGCATCCAATTGCGCACAGCAGTGTCCCACAAACAGTCGTGGATTACGTGCCCACATTTTTATTTATTTATTTTTATTTATTACCCCCAGAAAAGCAATCTGCCAATCGATTAACAACTGGGTTCCTACTTACAGCTGGGTAAACAGAGGTGTGAGTAGTAAGGAAACTTGCCTAACGTTTGGCCCGGCCCAGAATCAAACCCAGGTTCTCTTGCTAGAGGCAAGTGCTCAACCCACAAAGGTACAGGACTCCAACCATACACAGTGATTTACATTAGAAATAATTCAAACAGGCAATGCACGGGTAGCAAAGAAGTCTGTTCAATGATTAAATGGATCTCCACCCCCAGCCTATGTTACTTAGAGTTCTCTGAGAGGACAGGGCTCTTGCTGATATGTCACTTCAGAGAGTGACTTTCATGAAGATACTTCTGGTAAGTTAAGCATTCCGAAAGCAGAAATTCTTCTTAAAAAATAATTTACTAAATGAATATTAGTAAAGTAAATTACTCAGATCATCAAAATCACCTACCTTTGTTTGTGCCAGTTCTATGTCCTTTTGTCATCAAGACAGGTCATCTATTATCATTTTGGATTTAAGAATCTTCTGTTTACAAAGTAGCCTGATGTTGTTGTCCTTCATATTGTGCAGTTCTCTGGAACAAATGGCGCCCTTTTATGCTCTGGATCAGAGGGGTTTACCGTATAGACACTTGTGTTTTCTTTGGCCAGACAATTCATGCAAACAATACCACATAGTTTAATTTTCTTTGGTTACAATATTAACACACTATTGAATAATGTAAATGGCACAGGTATAGTGTACCTAAGCAAGAGAAATGCCAATGTGATATCTAGAAATTATAGGTAACAGTAGAAGCCTCATAATCCACTTTAAATTGGATTTACAGCAGATAGAAAGTTAATAATGAAAAACGGAATTCCATTTTATCCAAATAATCTTGCTGAATAAATTGCATAATTAGCAGTATTTTTGACAAATTAAACTGAGAATCCATCAGCAATGTGTAAAACCTTAGCAAGAAAATGTAATCTCATGGCAATACCACCATGATACTAACAAAAATGTGTCTTCCAGTGAGTAACACCACAACAAACCAAAAGCAGGCTAAACTTTATCATTGAAATAGATTGCTGATGTGTGTAAACTGTGGGTTTACTGACCAAGCATTTCTGAGCCAATTATTTATTGGTTGTTTTCAGAAAGACTTGGTAAACCTGTAAGGTATTCCTTTGTATTATAAGCTGGTCTCTCCAGAAGTATCCTGCAATAAAAAGTGCAGAGCACGATTTCAAATTATTTTTGTGGTCAGTAACCTTTTGCTAGTGGTTCTACCAGTCACATGTCCAATTTATTTCATTTCTCTGCAAACACGAGAAATCAGAATCACTGCGAAGGGTTAGTGAGGTGATCAGGGAAAGCTGACACATTTAATTTTGCAATTTAGAGCGCAAGAAGTCAAGCTCTATCTTGTGTGATATATTAATGAAAAAATGCCATGTGTAAACAGACTTCAATGCAACTTTCGCTCTCAGAACTAAGAAATTACATTCTCCGTTTGGATTAATAAACTTTCAAGAAAGTGTAGGTTTCCCACAAAATTGACTGACCCCCAAAGAAATCAATAAGCAGATCCCAGAATTCAATTTAAACCATCTGATTTGTGACTTCAAATTTAGTCTTTTAATTTGAAAACAACAGAGCACAATTTAAAAGACTAAACAATTCTGATGCATTCTTGGAATAATGTATTGTATAAAAAAGTGAGAGAAAAAAAAGTTGTGTTATCTTTCATACATGGCTTTTCAATTTAAACCTACATCCTTTTGTTTTAAAGACCCCTTCAATTTGATTCATTTCCAAGAAGCTGAACTTCTTCTGTTCTTCTCGGAATAGGAGAAGTTCAGTTGTGATAAGATTTAAGACTATCAAGCAATCAGTTATGCTAACCAGTAAACAGTGCCAATCGGGCAAGATCTCCAGATAAATTGTTTGCACTTCCCTTTACACAATTGTACCTTGCAAGTATTAACAAAATAATGCAGGAACTAAAACCATGGGATAAATACCAATGGACCAGTGAAATAAGGCATAAGACACATCAGTCAAAAAGATGCAAACAACTATTTACAACAACATAAGGTGGATATCCTATGGATCCGTAGTTGGTACAGGGATCTCCCATTTCCCTTATGGTATGAAATGGCCAATTTGTTTGTTGTTAAATCATTGTTCACAGCAGTTCAAGAGCACTTCAATACGCGATATTTGCAGGAACACCGCACAGCATGCTGGAAGTGACATCAGTGATAACTTGATGACTTGGAAGCCATATTTTAGCACAAATAGCCATCTGGCTTCCTGCACGAACAGTCATGTGATTGGTGGCACTGATACGTGGAAGTCATGGCCAGAGGCGGTGGCGTTGATCACATCCGTTATAAGACGGGGTCTTATTTTATGAACCCCAATTGCTGCCTTATAAGAGCTTTACTGGTCACAATTTCACCCCTATAATTTCTATCAACCAACAACAGCATCACCATTTAAGGTACAATCACTTACATTTTTGGGCTCTGTTGATTTGACACCAACTGAATCTTTTTTTCTAGGTATTAGTAAAGCCTCAAGTTTGACTTTTGTCATAATAATGCTAATAAATAAAAAAACCTTACATTTGATACAGTACTTTTCATGTTAAGAGGTTGTTTCAGAGCATTTCACAGGATTCTACTCTAAAATGAATACTTCTGTGGGTGTACCTGGCAGCCAATTCTGCACAGAACTGTCCCACAACCAGCCATCGAGTGAATGACCAACTTTATTTGGGAGATTGTTGGCCAGGACACCGGGAGAAACTCCCCTCTTTTTGAATAGGGCCATGATATCTTTAACATCCACCTGAACAAGCAAATGGGACCTTGTTTAATGTGCTGTTCCTGAGGTAGGCATTTCCAACAAACAATTCAGTGCTCCTACAGCACTGCAATAAAGTGTCAGACGAGACTGCGAGTTCCAAGACCCAACGTGGGTTTATATTTAGATGAGGTAAATTCACCAAATCGAAAAAGTACTGTTGCTACAAAAAAGAACATTAGACAGCAAGATCAGCCCAGATGCAAAACATGGTAAAATAAGCAAACGTAATTTTTTCCACCTCTCTTATCCCCCATTAAACATTCAAGTGTGACAACAGAAGTCAAACCAATAGGAACACTAGAAGCACTCCTGAAGGTATTTTATGCTACATTTAAACCATGAGGAATTAAGCCACTTTGCTCTCAACGGGTGGAATAAGAAGCCTGTTTTTACTTCCCTGCTCGGCATCAATTTGTTTTGGACTGAAAAGAACAGGCATCAGATTTCACCATTCTGTGCAATTGACTTTTTAATAACATTAAAATCAAAGTCCATTCAAAATTCTTCAGTCATCCATTTGAACAAATTATGCAAGCAATTTCGCCTCCAAACGTAGTTACTACACTTTACAGTAAATCCTGTGAGGTGTTTTGAGACATCGTCCCGATATGAAAGGCGCTGTATCAAATGCAATTATTATTTATTATTGAGTACCGTCCACACCCGCTTGTTCATACTGGACGTGGCAAATTCCACAGATACTACCACCAACAGCTAGTAACAGAAGTAGGACTACAGTGTCATTTATTTGCCAGAGAATTAGTGTTGAAACCCTAATTCACCACCAAAAGTGCAATAGATATGAAGCTAGAGCTGCAGTTAGATTTCTTTGGTTAAATGATCACTCACTCAAAGCAGTATTTACATTTTAAAAACCCATCTGCTTTCCTTTGCATCACAAAAAAACAAAAACAAAACTTGCAAAACACTATTGTGCTGCTACCAGAAAAGGAAAAGCAGAATTCAGATGAACAAACAGACCTTCAAATTGAACAAAACATTTCTGTGGGGGAAAACAGTAAAATATAAATGCTAGAATAATTATTTTCAGAGCATTTAGTCAAAATAATAAAATATCCTGTCAATCCTTTTTTTTTCTTGTAACGTTAAATGACGTGCTGGATATCTAAGTTGGCTACTGTACCTCAGATTTACATTCATTATTGCGAATAGAAACAATGCAGAGGCCTCTTCCTTGCAACAACAGTGCTTTGTGGTGGATATTCCAGAAATAATATATTTTAAATTTATTATAAATAGCTTCTATTGATAACTTATTCATTGCCAGGCTCCTGCTCAGCAAACATATACTGAGGTAAATTCAAAAATCGCTTACCTGCAATACGGGTCAGTGTCATCAGGTGTTCGTTCTCCAGGAGCTGTGCAAATACCACTTCACCTCGGAAATGTGCGATCCCTTGAAATTGCAGCGCCAGCTGTGTCCCCTGTAGAATTTCCTGCACCGTCGCCTTGCATTCCTCAAATGCACTCACCGCCCTATCAGGAAATGAATCAGACAGATTGTGTAAACGAAGAAACGGCTTGAATCCATTCAACTGACTGTTCTCATATTGTTATTATTGTGCACAAGCCCTTATGAGGATTATGCAATTTAACACTAAAATATTTTTAATAATAATAATCCTTGTATTTGATATAGCGCCTTATGTGCCTAACACTTTGACTGAATGGTGTCAATTTAATTCGCAGTTAAATGCTGCCGCATAATATAAACAGTGTGGATTGTGCATATAGCTTTTGTGGAATGGAAAGGAGCGCATATTAATTGTTTCCAATTTACAGACCCATAAAAATAAGACAGGAAATTATTTTCACATTTACTCGTACACATAAAGGGAGACTTGAAGGGAGAGAGAAATTTGTGAAGAGAATGCTCAAAACAAGGCAAAGTTTTCAAACAAGGGAGAGTTCTCAAAACAGGGGAGAATGGGAAAAACAAGGAGCTAAGCAGATTGCAGAGAGGACTGCTTGGTCAGTCTATTTTGGGAGCTGACAGAGACTCAAGACCTTTCAAAATGTAGCAGTGAACAATACCTCTACCTGTAACGGTTATCCTTTTTCGTTCAAGTACTTTGTACCAAAGATGCACTGTAAAATCTGTTTTCTCTCTGTGAATATCTGTCATTAAAATTCAGTGGAAAACCACCGACCAATTCAGTCTTCATAATTACAAGAGTCCCAGAATTAGATGGAACTGCGACTTCTCTGTGAGAAAGTACTCAATCCCCTTGTATTAATATCATCAGCACAAGTGCCCGGGCTCAGCAAGACAATCAGGTAGAACTCGTTCACACTCAAGCAACTGAGTTTGTGACAAGAATGAAAAAATCTAGATTTATTGTACACAATATTTTTCTGTGAAAAATTACTTAATTTTTTAAGAAAGTAAACCACTCCCTTGATTTTCTCAGTAACCTAGCCAAGTATAACTCAGGATTATTAATAATATAATAATCCTTGCGTTTGACATAGAGCCTCATCACCCGATGAGGACCTCTCAATGCGCTTCACAGGATATATTGTAAAATGGCATGACTGTGCAACCAATTTGTGCACAGCAATAAATAAGGCCACTGGAACAAGTATAAGATGAGGGAAAGTGAATTTTACAAAAAGCAATGGACAAGCAAGGTTGAGAGAGAATGATGAAAACAAAATACAATTGAGTTGATTGAGCAGCTTTTCCTCTCTTTTCCTTCAAGTCATGGTCATTGAAATAAAGGGAATTAATAAGCTAGATAGGGGGCAACCCTTCCCTCTGATACAGGAATCCCAAACAAACAGACAATGTTAACATTAGACAAAACGCAAAATACTGCAGATGCTGGAAATCTGAAACAAAAACAGAAGTCACTGGGAACACTCAGCAGGTCAGGCAGCATCTATGGAGAAAGGAAAGTGAGTCAACATTTCGGGACCACGACCCTTCATCAGAACCCTAGAGCCCAGAACCCAGAGTTCTGACGAAGGGTCATGGACCCGAAACAATGACTCACTTTCCTTTCTCCATAGATGCTGCCTGACCTGCTGAGTGTTCCCAGTGACTTCTGGTAATGTTAACATTAGATTTTGGGATGTCCTCCCGACGTGAAGGGCGCTATACAAATGTAACTTTGTATTGGATTGTAAAAAGATTAGAAGTGAGACCTGAATATATGTATTCATACACAGGGTTATGAAAAGGTGGAATGCAATGTTAAGGAAGGGCAAAGATTAAAAAAGCAATAGAAGAGAGACAGATACTTCGGAAGTAAAAGTACAAAATGACAAGGAACAATGCAATAAAAGATCAGCCAATGTCTAATAACCTGGTGGAATGGGTTCTAAGGATTGAATGGCCTACTCCTATTTCTTATAAGCCACCAGTTAAAAGGAAGACACATCGTTCGTTTCCGAAGCCACGAAAATAAGTTATGCTGTAATTGACCACTAGATGGTGTAAGAGGGCACTTATATCTCTTCTGTTGAGAAGCACAAGGCCTCCACATCGCAAAGTGCCCAAAAATCAGCAATTTACACCTTAAACAATATAATATAATAATATAATCCTTGCATTTGATATAGCGCTTTTCACGTCGGGAGGACGCCCCAAAGCACTTCACAGAACACACTGTAAAGTGAATTGACTGTATATTTGTGGGCGAACGCGGCAGCCAATTGCAATGTCCAACAAACAGTCGTAGATTGAAAATGACCAATTTATTATTGTTTTGGGTTTTGGAGGGATTATTATTAGGCTCTGTGTGGAGTAAGGAAACTTGCCCAAAGTTTTGCGCTGCCTGGAATTGAACTCAGGTCTCTCGCTTGCAAAGCGAGTGCTCTAACCACTGAGCTACAGGACTCCTTCAATGCATTTAAACCTTTGTCACCTCACTGGGAGGCACTGTAATAGTCCAGCCTAAACTTGTTGTGGTGTGTGTGCTTTCTCATAGGTACAATCTACAAGCCAGACTGACTCGGAACCAAAAATTCACGAATGGGGATTTTGTTTTTTTAGTCTCATATGTAGGGGGCAAACCTATCAGCATCCTTCGTATAAAAAAAAATCTTGTTGTTCTTTAAAGAATATACAAGGTGAACTAGAAATTGATTGTTTTGATAGAAGCAAGCACAACAGTCTCAAATTGTCTCAAAGCACTTCAAAGAATTTACTGTACAGCGACTGTATTTGTAGACAAATTCAGCAGCCGATTTGCACACAGCAATATCCCACAAGCAATCATGAATTGAAAGACCAACTTTATCTCCGAGATTGTTGGCCAAGACATCGGGAAAAACTAGTGCCATAGGATCTTTAACATACAGATGAGATCTACTCTAGCCAAAGACAAATAATACTTACATTTGATATTGCATATTTCATGTTGGGAGGATGTTTACTCCCTGTAAAGTGTAGTCACTGTATTTTTGTTAGTAAGCGTGGCTCTACTCTTTTAGATATTACTCACCTGTTCACCTCCATCTCACTCGCAAGATTTGTCACAAGAATAGTGATATGAAGAGTGGGAACTGGAATCATAGCCCTGGAGAGTCTTTGGTCCTTTTGAACGACAATATCCTGCACAGCCTGAATACCACCTACAATCTGAATTAATTGAAGAAAATAAGAAGTTTGACATTTGTACTGTTTCTGGCAAAGTGTTAAATCAAGAGCAAATCATGGTTGGAATAACATGCAAGTGCAGTAATGCATCTGAAGAGAGTATTAACAAGTTCTATGAATGGTTCAATGCGAATGAATGAAGAAAGAACTGAGAGCAAAAAATACAAATAATAACTTACATTGGTATAGCACCTTTAACCTGAGGACCTCTCAAAGTGCTTCACATGATATAATATGAAGTGGATTGACAGGATATGTTGTGGGCAAAGGTGGCAGCTAGTTTTGCAGACAGCAATGTCCCACAGACAGCAATGAAGTGAATAACCAATTTTATTTGGGATATTGTTATCTAGGACACCGTGAGAAAACTTTTAACTTTTAAAAGATGGATCTTTAACATCCATCTGAATAAGCAGCCAGGACCTTGGTTTAATGTCTCATCTGAAGAACTGCACCTTCGACAATGCAACATAGCCCAGCACTGCCCCGGAGCGTCAGCTTAGACTATGTGATTCAAGTCCCGATGTGGTGCTTGAACCCACTTCTGACCCAGAGGAGAGAGTGCTGTTACTGCACCAGGCTGACACTTGCACTGTAAAGTGTAGTATTTCTCTTTGACCGAGCCTTCAGCTCCCCTCTCGACTCTCTTCCCCCTTCTCGCTCCCTCCCTTCCCTCCCCTCACCCTGACCATTTCCCCCCTCCTCGCTCCCTCCCTTCCCTCCCCTCACCCTGACCATTTCCCCCCTGCTCGGGTCATGACCCAACTGTGCAGCGCCTTGGGACGTCCTCCTGACGTGAAAGGCGCTTTATAAATGGAATCTTGTTGTTGTTGTTGTATTTCATGGGCGAAAATAAGAGTTAGGGGTAAAAGCTCACAGCACTGATATTAACTAAATTGCAAGGACACAAAGTGTACATTACTTATGTACAAAAAGTGCCCTGCAGATGGAGCTCGTTGACAAAAATGTTTGCTGTACATTCACACATTGGGGTAAGAGTCTGAAAATGCTCAGTTTGATTTCGAAAAACCTCTTAAGTCACAAGTCCATTCAATGAGAATTCACTGGGTGCAGCGATTGAGTTCAGTTGGTTGACTGATTAATTCAATTTGATCAAAAAAATTATACTGAAACATTGCATACCCACTAAGTTGGATCAGAGGGAATGTACAGAATTTCCATACAAAAAGAGAATATAAAATCTGATTCACAACACTAAACTAATTGGTGCCTGTTTAAAACAATGCACAATGGGCTGTATGTGCAGATCCGCAGAAGGTCAATACAGGCAAACATGAGGCACATAGGCAGCATTCCACTGCGTACAGTGTTCCAGTGCATTAAAGATAATTTACTACACTCTGCTCCACTCCATGATCTTAGACCTTCATTAGCTGCAATAATATTCAAGAAACTTCCAAGAGTGCTCAGAAGCATGAAGCGTGAGGTTACAAGAAATGTTTTTACACAAAGGGCTATTAGAACGTGGAATGCATTACCATAGGCGGGTATTCAGCCAGAGTCCATTACGTCATTTAAAAGGGAATTTGATAAACATTAAAAGAGTGAAGGTATAAAAAACACCAGAAGAATGAAGTTATGTAGAAAGAAATATGGGGAAAAAGCAGGGAAATAGCATTGGAGTCGATAGTTCCAGGTGGTAGTTAACATAACTACAAGTACAATATAATGCACCAAATGGTCTCCTTCTGTGCTGCAATATCCGCACGCATTCCACCCAGAGCAATGAGCCACACTCATTCCAGAAGGTGGGATTTTTTTTCCTCATTACAAAATTGTTGTAACTAGCATATAAGTGAACAAAATCCAATAAAATCACAACTGACCTGCAATAACCATGTTTACACACCATTTTTAAAACATCTAATAGTTTTTGCATGACCGCACATGAGAAATGAACACGGGAAGGTACTTTTAAACTGCAGAGATTGATTAAAGGTTAGGGGCTCCTTGTACATGGTTCAAGCTCCAAAGGGCTGGCAAATGTATTTTTTTTGGAGGGTGGAAGAAAAAGATTGATTTTCTCTACTTTCATGGAGAACTAGTCCTTGTAAAGTGTTATCTTGTTTCTTACAGGTTTAACTGCATGCCCTTAATTACTGTAACTTGTAAATCATGCTGTAAACCAGAACATTATGATACATACATTATTCTGCACTAACCAGTCGTACAGCATTCCCTGGGTTATTTGAACAAGTGCATATCAGTAATGGAATGGATTTTTTGCAACATCCTTACCATGTAAAATGGTCCAGTGATTGGTTTAAAAGATTTCCAAAGCATGTTTTTTTCAGCTCTAATGTGCCATACAATTACAGTGACTCCAGATAACCTGCTCAGCAATATTCTCCGGAGTGGCGAGTTAGGTAAAGGACCTCCGGGGCCACAAGGGGTGCGTGAGTATGTACTGTATACACCAACACACTCTGCACGTCCACAGACGAGGAGCCCTAGCCCCCAGCGACCCTCAGCCTCTCTGCCCCTAACCTTTGGAACTCCATCTCACAGTCCCTCCACCTTGCCCCTCCCTTGCCTCCTTCAAGACCTGTCTCAAGACTCTTGTAAGTAATGAAGTGATAACAACTAGACCAAGCATACAGACCAAAGGTTGCAGTTTCAATTAGCTGTCTGTGCAGGGTTAGCTCAAGTGAGTTAATCTCAGCTGGGCTAGCACACAAGAGAGGGGGGGGGGGGGAAATCAATCATTTAGGATTCCTGCTCACTGTTCAGCAATCCCCCAAACTTGAGGCACAAGTGAGTGGTGAGTGGTGATGATAAGACTCAGCTCACAAAATAACAACCACTTGGGCTAGGGTTCCTGGAATTATATATTAGTATGAAAGAAAGCAAAATTGGTCAATCACCTTAAGGAGAGGGAGGGAAGGAAAACAAACTGGCGAGCAAAAAGAAAAAAATTGTTTTGTTTGATGTCACTACCTTCAAGGCTGCAGTTGGAGATATGCCTGAAGAGCAAATAATCCAGCCTACCTCCACTGGCTCCTATTACAATCTTGTTATAGATCTCGCCTCCACCAGCTCTGATCACACACAATATGCACACTGTAAGCTGGTACATATGCCTGCTGCATGCTAACTCATCCCAAGTTTCGCAACAAATAGTTTTGTATTTCAAATACAGAATTAACAAACCTTTGGATTTGTTATTGGAATAGACACAAAATAATTTGGATGAGTCTCCTTTTTCTTCTTTTGACCAGCATCTTCCTCACTCTCACCTCCTAAAGTCCGCTTTCTCTTTTTCTTCAAATTCTTTCCAAGGGTTGTAGTGACTGAATAAAGAGAAACAGAATATTGAATAATCCCAAATGCAATACATGCAACACAAGTGCTTGCTTGTTTTCAATAAAGACTAAGCAGCAATTCAGTAATAAGAAGCCATAAAAAGGAATGAAAATTTAAAGGAACAAATAACCACAACTTTTTATTCTTTCACTAACTTTAGAGCTGCATAACACATTTCTGGGAATAGTCTTTTGGACAACCGTTTTAACTGTTTCCCTCATTGCACTCCAATATTGAGTAGATATCCTGTGGCCATGGATGGCTGACAAGATCCAAGCAGGGATGGCCGGTCATCAGAGGCAAGGAAGACAAACCTCTCCACACCCCACACTGTTGGCTATCACACAGAAACCCAACCTGTTTTGAGGCTAGCCTCTACTGCCATCTAAAAGGGTTTGGTATATTAGAGAGGAATTTGTTTTCGTAGCCTTCCCCTTATTGAAAGTCACTAACATCTGGAGAGTGGTAAACGGTCCAAGTGTGGGAAGAACCAGAAGAGTGCAAGAACAGACTTTAACCTGCAAGAACAGTGCCCTCCTGGAGTGCACATTCTTGCCTTCACTGAGGAGATTGTGGAACACTCCAGGGGAGGAACTCTGGGACTGAGTGACTTTCTCATGAGGAGGTATGTTGGAAATAAATGATTTTCTCATGCACAGAAATATTTTACTCTAGCTACGTGCTTAAATGATGGTAGACGTCTGTGAGAGTGAGCTGCCCAACTGTATTTGACAGGTTTATTTTCATTAATTTTTAGCATATCTAGCAAGCATTTTCCTCTGATCCAAAACCTGCTAAAATATATAGTACAGCTATAATCTACGAACTAGAAAGGAACTGCATCATGCTGGTTCGCAGATTCAATCTCCTCTTAGATACGAAAACCATGCTGGATGTTAACAGTATCGTATCTATAGCAGTTTTGTCAAAGCAAACTTTTAGGGTTTTCAATGACTGCAAGACCAGCCCATCAGGACCAGATTTAACACCATGAAAAGCACTTTCTATTAATTAAAAAAATTTGTTCCCACATCACAACAATGGATGGTGGGATCTAGAGGAAGGGAGAAAAAGGAAGCAAGCAGAAAGAAGAGGGAAGAAGAAAAATTTAAATAATGCAGTCAGGTAAAAATTTCGAATTTAAAATTTAGATTGTGGAAGAATAGAAAATAAGATAAAAGGCACATAAGCTTTTTTAAAAAAAAGCTTTGAGGGTTTAACACATTTGTGATAAAACAAAACATCATTTGTATTTCTGTCCTTCTCCTCTGTTCATGCCCTTCACTCTGCAAACTTGGGCTTGCTACTCGTACTCTCCGCACCACTATCGGTGGCCAAACATTCATATTCTATGCTCCCAACCTCTCGAACTCCCTCTCTCTACCCCTACCTCTTGCTCCCTCTCCATCAGTCTTCATCCCATATAAAAAAACTACTTTTGACCTGCAACCTCCTGTATCACTACCACCCCAGCTGCTCCCAACCCATCAGATAACACCAGCCAGCTTCATATCCCCCACCCAATCTGCCCCACCACCCATCTTTTTAAACCTGATTTCAGTCACCTTTGATTCCCCCCAGCTTCCAATCAGATGTGTGGTGTTTAAGACATCCTCCTGATTGAAAAGTGCTATATAAATATGAAATGTGCTACATATACATGTATGAGTTGTTACTGTAATGTTTATATTTTTTCACCATCACAATGCACAAGTTTAAAAACATACAGAACTTGCTAGCAACTGTAAATAAACATCAAAGTATTTCAAAAGCAGATATTTCCAAGCCTCCTAATGTTTCCTTTGTTTATCAGGGTTTCATTTATTAAATGAAATGAGTCTCCGTTGGAAAAGAAAACTTGCTATTATTCACCTATACAAAGGATGACAGCTTTTGCTTTGTGTTACTAGGCTAATGTAGCCCCAAAATAATTTATTTGTTTTTGTTTCTCAATCCATTTCAAAAGGTATTTTTTCTAAAATCCAGTTTTCTTGGACCTGGGAAACAAAATATGGATTCAAATAGTAAGATTTTTAACAAAAAATGGGGAGAAGGAAGAAGATTCAGAATTGTGTGCATGCAGTAGCAGGTGAAGGTAAGGCAGGAGTGCAAAATAGCCAATATGTTAACCCTCAGTGCAATAACAACAATAATTTGCATTCATATAACCTCTTTCACTCAGGCAGCATGTCAGGGTACTTAACAGTCATGTGGTTTGACTCCGAGCCAGAAAGGGAGGGGAGGTAACCGAAGGCGCAGTCGAAGAGGAAAGACTTCACATGCGATATGAAGGCGGGCAAAACAGGGGGCAAGATGGAGGGATTGAGACAAGGAGTTCCACAGATTCGGGTCTGAGTGACTACAACACAGCCCAATTGTGGAGCGGAGGGGACGAGGGACTTGGAGAAGACCCATGGCAGCTAAGCAATAAAGACAAACTTCATGCCCAGCATATAAACCCAATCTCTAGGTCTGTCAATGTATTCATGAATTATGTATCACTTGCCTCACGCGTTTTTTTGTTAGAAAAAATACAAACGTGTGTAGAGGTAAATACAATGAACAACGTGTACCCTTATGTCAGTCCTGTATCTTGTGATTTGTTTCCCACATAATCTCAATTATAAAGTTCCCCCACTTTAGAATTAAACCTGCGTATATTTAGTTTATTGAAGTGTGCTCACTGAGTGGAGACAGTTGCCTTCAGGACACAGGTTTTGCTCTCAAGCCTTTTTCACCTGTGGTTAAAGATAAATTCAAAGGTGATAGAGGGAGCGACTTGTAAAAAGAGTCAATGAAACACACCCACATTCTTGACGGCTGTGCACAGACTTGATCGCGAAGCCAAATAAATCTGATTCTATCAAAACCCAAAAAAAGACACAGAACTGATGCACATAACATCTGTTTACTTACCCTTCCATTAACTTATCTCTTTGAAATTCCCCAACACAAAGAATATACCTGGGTTGTTTGCTGAAGTCAATTATGGTTACTTCTTGCAATAATGGATATATTATAAGATCAAAGACTCTGCAATATTATTTCTAATTTCAGTGATTGTGGATAAATAGAATGATCCAAAGAATGAAAGACTTACAACCAAACTCTTCCCGGATCTCCGTATGTGCAAAGGGGAGTTCTGCCAACAAACTATTGATTTCATTCTGTGAAACAGATTTATTTTTCTTTCTCCTTCTTGTTTTCTGCCTCCTCTTTTTCTCTGGAATGGTCTCCTCTGTTTTTTCTGTGCTCTCGGGCACTTCTATGCAAAAGTAACAATCAACATTAAAAAACACTTAGTATTGTAGAAACAATTTCATTATGCAGGACTATCTATGTCATTTAATAAAAAAAAACTCTTATTAAAATCAGTGAATAAAAGAGTCAGAGGAATCACCACCGCCCCACCAGTCATTTTACACAATACGATTGAAAATTGTGAAGACGTACGAACACTCCACTGGATGCAGGTGGCATTCAAGACAGAATTTACTTTACTCTTGGGAGGGCTAGATTAATATCTCTGAACCAATAACAAAATGGCAATGTTTTATTTAGTGCTAAGAACAGTTAAATAAGTGACATTTTGCGATTCTGTGCATTTCTTTAAAGGCTGTTGAATTATATTGCAAAACGACTGCAAAAAAATGAATGATAAAACGCCAGAGAAATTAAAACAAAAGTATACATCCCTCCAAAAACCCAAAACAATAATAAATTGGTCATTTTCAATCGATGACTGTTTGTGGGACATTGCTGTGCGCAATTGGCTGCCGCGTTCACCCACAAATATAGTCAATTCACTTTACAGTGTGTTCTGTGAAGCACTTTGGGACGTCCTCCCGACGTGAAAAGCGCTATATCAAATGCAAGGATTATTATTATTATTATTATCGTGGAGTGACTCAATGATTTGTATAAAGTTGGTAATGAAATGTCATGCAGTATTACTGGGTTGTCTGCATTAAACTGTATACAATAATACTTGCATTTGATAAAGCACATTGTCACTACTTTGAGATGTCTCAAAGCACTTCACAGTGCAGCGATTGTATATTTTGTGGGCAGCAGCTTGTTGCGCACAGCAATGTCCCACAAAACAGCCATAGAGTAAGTGACCAATTTTATTTGGGGGATTGTTGACCAGGACAACGGGAGAAATGTCCTGCTCTTTTTGAATAGTGCCATAGGATGTGTAATTCCCACCTGAGCCTTGTGCCTTGGGACGTCCTCCCGACGTGAAAGGCGCTCTATAAATGGAACCTTGTTGTTGTTGGTGTTGTTGTTGTTGTTGTTGTTGAGCGTGCAGATGGGACCTTGGTTTAACGTCTCATCTGAAGGACAGCAGATCTCCAACAATGTAACACATCCCCATCACTGGATTGGATGTGGGACTTGAAGCCAAAACCTTCTGACTCATAAAAAAAGAGATTCCTACCACTGTGCCAGGCTGACACACAAGTTATAAACAAAGTGCTGAATTTTTTAAAAATAGTATTGTTTGCTCACATTCACTGTGATTCACATGTAAAATGTTCTGTAAAAAGTTTTGTTCAGTCCTTAAATTACTAAAAGGAAAATGCAGATTATCTAATTACAAATGATGTAGTAGTATTCCTGAATGTACTGTAAAGTGAATTGACTGTATATTAGACACAAATGTACAAACACACAGGCAAATTGTATTGAACTAGCTTCCTTGTAATAAAATATTCCTAAAAGACCCAGTGATTTTTATGAAAGCATAATTTGTACTCATTTATTTCCTGGTTTTCCAGTGTAGAACACGTCATCACTAAAAACAAGATACATCCATTGCATTGATTGGTTGGTTAGGTCGACTTCCCTGCCTGATAGAACATGACAGATGACCAGATGGGACTGTTTACCAGTAATCCACTTAAACAGATTAAGACTTTAGTGCACATTTGTTTGGAAATCCTTTGGTCTATTTGTTTATTATGCCAACTATGGACAGGTACTAGACATGTACAAAATGCATTGTGAATTTGTTGCACAGTTCTACTCTAGTTGTTGCTTGTTGCGTTTCAATATAAAGTAAAGAATCAGAGAGAGGTACTGCAAAGCACACAGACAATAGGCCACAGTTAAGAAAATAATTGGTCACAATAAAAGTCTGGCAGCTGCATCTGACACAAAGACGATTTGACACTTTGAGGATCACACACGGATTCAGAGCGATTACACCACAGTCTTCAAACCTCTCAGGGTGATTACTGTACTACATCATTGGTAAATTATGTACGTGAAGCTTTTCACATTAAGCTTTTCTCTCAATGTGTTTTCTTAAAAACTCAAAAGATGCAACACCTCGGAGCAAGTTCTAAATAGTCTGCGGTAATTTAGCCCTCAATATGTGGCAGCACATATCTTGCACTTTCTGAAAGGAGATGAATTGCTATAAAATGAACTGAATGCATTCAGCTAAGAAACTTAACTCATTCTACATGAATCTGAGACTTCAGAAGATAACAGATGAGTTATCTTTGTGCAGGATTATCAGAGTGGGGCTGTAAACACAATGAAGTACAAGCATAAACATAGGCTGATTCATGTCGTCTATTTAATTGCTTTTTTTTGCTAACTACTTTATTTACTCATCTTCTATAATTTATAATAATTATAATAATCCTTCCATTTGATATAGCACCTTATCACATTATTGAGACATCTCAAAGTGCTTCACAGAATATACTGAAAAGTGAATTGACCGTATAGTTTGTGGGTGAAACACAGCAGCCAATTGCGCACAGAAGTGTCCCCAAACAGTCATGGCTTGAATGACCACATTTTTTTAAAATCGACAACAGAAATAATAAAATAAAAATAAAATAATCCTTGCATTTGATATAGCGCTTTTCACGTCGGGAGGACGTCCCAAAGCGCTTCACAGAACACACTGTAAAGTGAATTGACTATATTTGTGGGCGAACGCGGCAGCCAATTGCGCACAGCAATGTCCCACAAACAGTCGTAGATTGAAAATGACCAATTTATTATTGTTTTTGGTAGTACCTGGGTAGTAATGTACTTTGTTTGAATTTCCATATTCATTCTCTGGATCTCCCTCAGCAATACACAGAAGTCATCCTGCTATGTAACTAGACCAAGTGTAAATCAGAATCAGGGCAAATCTCCCCTCCAAATTTTTCTCCCAATATAGTTACTCTGATTATAACATACTTTGTTTAGCTGTGAGTGTAATAATTTTTACTGCATAAATGAGGGATTATAGTTATTTATTTTGGTCGGGTAAGTGCCTGACACATTGAGACCCATCATCATGCTTAGAAGTTTGGCTACTATTTGGTTTGGATACTCTTAATCATGGCGATCTCATAGCCAATGCAGCCAAAACCCTTGTCCACACTTTCATCACCTCCCGCCTCCATTATTCCATTGCCCTCCTTGCTGGTCTGCTCAGCTTCACTATCTAATGCACCGCCGGTATTCTTATCCACTGTAAACTCTGTACCCCATCACACCAGTCCTCGCCAGGCCTTACTATCACAGTACAGATCGACTTCAAGATCCTCACACGTGTCCACAAATCCCTTCACACCTGGCACCCACCTTTCCGACCTGCGTACTCCCACTCCGCCACCCCTGCTCAGCTGGCTCCAGCTTCCCGTTTGTCCCTTGTCCCATCCACTCCACCATCGGGAGCCGTGCATTCAGCCAGAATGCCCCGAAACTTTCGAACTCTCCCTAAATCCCTCCGCCTTGCTCCTTTCTTCCCCTTTTACAGATCACACCTGAAGACCTTGCTTTTCAACCATACTGACAGTCACTTCCTCCCTCTCCTGGCTTGGTGTAAGGCTCCACCATGGTTAAGCGCTCCAAGATGCTTCTCCACGTGAAGGGTTACTGTATAATTTGTTTTTGTTGATGAGTTTCCGCATGTGCCAAACATCTGGCTGACAAAAACAAATAAATGTGATCCCTCCCCCTAATGCAGTGACAATTATTAGATTCACAAATTAAACACAGTCTTGATTGTCGGTACAAGACAAACAACAAAACTTCTCTTAGATAAACTATGCAACAATTCATCTAAATTTCTTTACAAACTCTTGACAAACAAAATGTATTTGCTTTTTTAGCCTGCAAAGACCAACCACAGAAATCATTTACAGAATGTGAGTGACAATATGCAACTTTGGAACGATTGCTCTTGCATGAAATGCACCAGGGAAAGTTATTTCTTATCATGTTAAATCTGTGCAATTCATCACCTTCGTCCCATATGAAAGACACTACATACGTGCAAGCAATTTTGTTGTTGCTTTGATTTTAGTACGCTCTGCAGTAGAAAGATGTGATAAATTACAAAATGAATTTGGAAGAAAATCTAGATTTTATATTCTGAATTTACTTGTCTTGGTTATTGATGATTTAACTTTTAAGCAATTTTCTCAGAATTCGTCATGCAGTGACTACGTGCAAGGTTTCTGTTCAATATTCTAATTAATTTCTTCAAAATATATCAGGTTATAACACATGGGCAAGAGTTTCCATGTCCACAAGGTAAGAAGAGGGTAGGTGAATGGGCAGTGTTCAGATTTAACTAAAATACAGAGGAGACCAGCCACGAGGTAAATTCGTAAATTCAAGAGCGAAATGGACAGCTATTTTGTGAAAATAAATTGACTAAGGGGCGAGACGTCATGCAGAATGTTATGTAAAATATATTTATCGGCCATGTGGTCTGTACTGGTCCTGCATAATCGTATTTATGTATATTCTGTAATGCTTTAATTTATTCAATCATAATCTAGTTGCTGAGGTACAGACAGGAAATTTTAGTGATCCGAGTTCTCTGTCTAAGACTTATGTCTGAACAAGAAGCACCAATACCAAAATCTAATCAGACTTCACCCAAACTTTCTCAAAAATTCTAAGAGCAAAGATCAATTTTTTTTAAAAAAAGGCTTGGTTCAGAAGGGGGTCAACTATATTCAATTCTGACTTACACCAATCTTTTACATACTGTACTGTGTCAAGCTTAGAAGCTAGAGTTACAATATATGCAAAAAATAGAAAAAATAGGGTACAACGGTGCAGGGCATAGTAACTCAAATTCACCGTACAATGTTGTGCAATCATAGAAAAACAGTTTCATGAACCACATTTCTTGCAATGGTGAACTGCGGTTCAGTCACGACACCAAGTGCCAAACAAAGTGATACAAATGTCAAGTGACTCAGACCATTCTCATAATGACCAACTCAAAAATGATAATGGTACAACAATGGGACCAGAATTGCTGATATCCTTATCAAAGGTATGGAGATGTTAAGAAAATTGGTTTCCTAACAATGTTGACCAAAATATAATAATACAGCTCAAGTTTTTGGCTCTTGAAAAATACTTTCTGATCAGATATGTTATGCATTTTGAATCATGCAAGTACAAGATAATTAGGTTAAATTTAAAATTGCATTTTCACATTACAGAAGTTACTTTATTTTCAAGTGACAATTGATATTTAGCACATCAACGTATGGTCTGACTTTTTTTTCCCCAAAAGGTTTTCTTGTTTCTTTTGGGACCATTCCACAATTGTTGATTTCTTATGCAAATACAGTTAAAGCACTATTTGCATCAGTGACAATTTTTAAATAAATTGTGATCACTACACAAACACACTGTATTATGAAAGAATAGGTTTATGACCAAACAGATACAAGCTTCTGACTTCATCAAGTTCTGTGCCATTCTGACATACTATATGATCGGGATTTCACATCAATCTCTCATGTGAGTATTTGTTCATAAAAATATCATGCATCCATCCAACAATGTTGTTCTTCACTCAAGACATCAAAGGCAAAACAAAGTCAATGATATCCACGAACTAAAAACAACCTAATGTTTTAATTTAGACAGTGAATAAACTTTGCCGATTAAAATCTGCTTTCCATTTTAAGCATTTAGAAATGTTAAGTTATGAAGCATTTACAAGAACATTTCATTTTTACTGAAGTGTTAAACTGAGCAGCAAACGATGGCAATATTTGAATAGGTAATAATGGTAAAATAACATCTTTCCTTTGAAGAGTAGCTGTGTGGTGGGGGGTAAGAGGTTCACAGGCTGCAAAAACACATACCAGTACGTCCAGATGATATTCTGGATTATGGATTACTATTCTATTAATCTTCCCCTTTTCGTTAACTTCATCTACAGTGCAAAACACAGTCACTGTAACCGGATTACAATACAAACAACAGATTGCATTCACGCAACGCCTTCGTGACATAAGTCACATAAGTCCTGTAGCTCAGTGGTTAGAGCAGTCGCTTTGCAAGTGAGAGACCTGAGTTCAATTCCAGGCAGAGGGCGAAACCTCGGCCAAGTTTCCTTACTCCTCACAGAGCCTAATAATAATCCCTCCAAAAACCCAAAACAATAATAAATTGGTCGTTTTCAATCCACGACTGTTTGTGGGACATTGCTGTGCGCAATTGGCTGCCGCGTTCGCCCACAAATATACAGTCAATTCACTTTACAGTGTGTTCTGTGAAGCGCTTTGGGACGTCCTCCCGACGTGCAAAGCTTTCTATCAAATGCAACGATTATTAGTATTATTTATTATTAAGTGCTGTGTTATCACACAAAAAACCTGTTCCATATACCGTATGGCCAAAGTCTTTTAGCGCCTCAGCATTCCTCACCAATGAACATTTTAAATCCTTCATCAGATGTGGAACAAACCAGCAAAGGGGGGGGAGGGGAGGGGGGGACTGGAGGGAGAAACGAGGAACGCGTGAAAGAATCTTAAGTGTATTTCAATGAAGTTTAACAGTGTGTAATGTCGTATGACATGAAGTTCGACTTCAAAATCGCCCCCCGGAGCGTTTTCATTCCCGTCCGCACACACTTCAGTAAAGGAATGGCTCTCCCGAAATAAAGCGCGAGGACACGTCAGTGTTTCCCCCCAAAAAAGAGCCGCGACGCAAACAAACCGGAGGGCAAAACATCGCGCGGCGGGTGTGAGGGGTGTGTGTGAGGGGTGTGTGTGTGAGGGGTGTGTGTGTGAGGGGTGTGTGTGAGGGGTGTGTGTGTGTGAGGGGTGTGTGTGTGAGGGGTGTGTGTGTGTGAGGGGTGAGGGGTGTGTGTGTGAGGGGTGTGTGTGTGGTGTGTGTGTGAGGGGTGAGGGGTGTGTGTGTGTGAGGGGTGAGGGGTGTGTGTGAGGGGTGTGTGTGGTGTGTGTGTGGTGTGTGTGTGAGGGGTGAGGGGTGTGTGTGTGTGAGGGGTGTGTGTGTGGTGTGTGTGTGAGGGGTGTGTGTGTGAGGGGTGTGTGTGTGAGGGTGTGTGTGTGTGAGGGGTGAGGGGTGTGTGTGAGGGGTGTGTGTGAGGGGTGTGTGTGGGGTGAGGGTGTGTGGGTGTGTGAGGGGAGGGGTGTGTGTGAGGGTGTGTGTGGTGTGTGAGGGTGTGTGTGTGAGGGGGTGTGTGTGTGAGGGTGTGTGTGTGAGGGGTGTGTGTGTGTGAGGGTGTGTGTGTGGGGGTGTGTGTGAGGGGTGTGTGTGTGGAGGGCTGTGTGTGTGGTGTGTGTGAGGGGTGGTGTGTGGTGGTGTGTGTGAGGGGTGTGTGTGTGAGGGTGTGTGTAGGTGTGTGTGTGTGTGAGGGGTGAGGGGTGTGTGTGTGTGAGGTGTGTGTGTGAGGGGCGGGGTGTGTGTGTGAGGGGTGTGTGTGTGGTGGTGTGTGTGAGGGGTGAGGGTGTGTGTGTGGTGTGTGGTGTGAGGGGTGTGGTGGGTGTGTGGTGTGTGAGGGGTGTGTGTGTGTGAGGGTGTGTGTGTGTGAGGGGTGTGTGTGTGAGGGGTGTGTGTGTGTGAGGGGTGTGTGTGTGTGAGGGGTGTGTGTGTGTGAGGGGTGTGTGTGTGTGAGGGGTGTGTGTGGGTGTGTGTGTGTGTGAGGGGTGTGTGTGTGTGAGGGGTGTGTGTGTGGTGTGTGTGTGTGAGGGGTGAGGGGTGTGTGTGTGTGTGAGGGGTGTGTGTGTGTGAGGGGTGTGTGTGTGTGTGTGTGAGGGGTGGTGTGGTGTGTGTGTGTGAGGGGTGAGGGGTGTGTGTGTGTGAGGGGGGTGTGTGTGAGGGGTGAGGGGTGTGTGTGTGTGAGGGGTGTGTGTGTGGTGTGTGTGTGTGAGGGGTGAGGGGTGTGTGTGTGTGAGGGGTGTGTGAGGGGTGTGTGTGTGAGGTGTGTGGTGGGTGTGTGTGAGGGGTGTGTGTGTGTGAGGGGTGAGGGGTGTGTGTGTGGTGTGTGTGAGGGGTGTGTGGTGTGTGTGTGTGAGGGGTGTGTGTGTGTGTGGTGTGTGTGTGAGGGGTGTGTGTGTGGTGTGTGTGAGTGTGTGTGTGTGTGTGTGTGTGTGAGGGGTGTGTGTGTGGTGTGTGTGAGTGTGTGTGTGGTGTGTGTGTGTGTGAGGGGTGTGTGTGTGAGGGGTGTGTGTGTGGTGTGTGGTGAGTGTGTGTGTGGTGTGTGTGTGTGTGAGGGGTGTGTGTGTGGTGTGTGTGAGTGTGTGTGTGGTGTGTGTGTGTGTGAGGGGTGTGTGTGTGAGGGGTGTGTGTGTGGTGTGTGTGAGGGGTGTGTGTGTGTGGTGTGTGTGAGGGGTGTGTGTGTGTGGTGTGTGTGAGGGGTGTGTGTGTGGTGTGGTGTGTGTGAGGGGTGTGTGTGTGTGGTGTGTGTGAGGGTGTGTGTGTGTGGTGTGTGTGAGGGGTGTGTGTGTGTGAGGGGTGTGTGGTGTGTGTGAGGGGTGTGTGTGTGTGTGTGTGGTGTGTGTGAGGTGTGTGTGTGAGGTGTGAGGGTGAGGGGTGTGTGTGAGGGGTGAGTGTGAGGGGTGTGTGTGTGGTGTGTGTGAGGGCTGAGGGGTGTGTGTGTGGTGAGTGTGAGGGGTGAGGGTGAGGGGTGTGTGTGTGTGGTGTGTGTGAGGGGTGTGTGTGTGAGGGTGAGGGGTGTGGTGTGTGTGAGGGGTGAGTGGTTTTTTTTTGTTGTCGTCGTTGTTTTCGTTCTGAGGAAAATACCTTTTTGGGGACCTTTCTTACCGCGTTTGCCGGTGAGGTGTGACGGCCTCCCCCCGGCGCCGGGACCCGGGGCGCGCTCGGGCGCCGACACGCGCTGGGCTGCTCGGCCGCTTTGCTGCTCACCTCCCGCTCCTTCCGAAGCGGCCGAGCCCGTGGCCGACTCCATGTTGGCGGCGGAGGTGACGGGTGGACTACGGGAATACCTGGACTGGAGGAGGCTGTCGTGAAGCGCCCTCTTTGATGTTTGCCCCCACCGCCTCGGCTCGAGACCAACGGGGTGAACCCTCCCGGAGATACAGAGGACAACTCGAAAGGAGAATTGGCCTAAAATGCAGAATGGATTTTTTTTTTCAAGTCACCGGGTTTCCTTCGCCGGGTTTTTCCCCTTAAAAGTCCTGGAACTCAGTGGGGAATCCCGTTAGAGCCCAACAGTCGCGCGGTGCCGCCGCGGAGTTTTTGCGCGTCTCTCCAGCAGTTATTGCAGGCTGGTGGGTGGGTGGGTGGGTGTACCTGGGGCTGAGGGGGACCTGCCCGCCGCTGATTTACGGTCCCGCTGACCTGTTAAGTTTCTAATTCAGGCGCACTCGCTCCACAGCGCTTCCAGGGAGCAGCAGCAGCAGCAGCTGCTGCCGCCGCCGCCGCGCCGGAGCAGAGAACTGCTCCTGTGAGGCGAGCAAAAGGCTGTGCGGGGCTGCGGAGTGTGCGGTGGCTGGTGTGGGCAGAGGCGCTTTGCAAAGAAAGTGTCTGACCGGCGACCCGCAGATCAGCGGAGAGTGGACCTGAGCAGCAGCTCCGGGGCCGCAGTCTGTCCCTGACCCGCGAGCAGCCGCGAGCCCCGGGCCAGCGTTCCAAACCCCGGGCCAGCGTTCCAAACCCCCGGGCCAGCGTTCCAAACCCCCGGGCCAGCGTTCCAAACCCCCGGGCCAGCGTTCCAAACCCCCGGGCCAGCGTTCCAAACCCCGGGCCGCCGCCGCGAGCCCCGGGCCAGCGTTCCAATCGCTCACCCAGTTGTACGGGTACGGCGTCTCGCGAGGACCAGGCTGGCAAACATGTCATACGTCTCTCTCTCTCTCTCTGCAGGCCCTTTTATTCACCCTTTTTTAAAGAATATATATATAATTCCTCCCTCCCCCCCCCCCCACCCCACCACCCACCAAAAAAGTCACGGCAAGTTTTCAATCGAAATGCTCGACTGTCGATCAGAAATACTGCATCATCTGCTTTGATATCTTTTATAAATACAGTGTGTGTATGTATATGTATATATATATGCACAGTATATACATATATTATAAAGGGTTCCTTCGTATTTGTTAAAATGAGTTTGAATCCTGGCTTATATTTGCTGATCATTAGTGTCAGTAAGATTTTCTTGGTGATGGACAGTTCTGCAAACTCTTACTGTGAATGTGACTGGAGAGGAGGAGAAGTTGAACTGACTCTCAGTCATTTTTAATTTTTTTTAAAAACTTTTTTGAATACGCGCCTTTCACGTCGGGAGGATGTCTCAAAGCACTACAAAGTGCTACTGCTACTGTAAAGTGTAGTGATTGTAATTTTGGGTGCACTTGGCAGCCAATTTATGCCCAACAATGTCCTAAAATAACCATGGTGTTTTATTGCTGTTTGGTGGGTGCAGGTCAGGGGAATTAAAAGCTGCGGTTACATTATTACCTAGACCCTAAAAGCAGTTTTTGTGTGAAAACATATAGTAAAAGTTTGCAAAACAAATATGAGTGTTAGTTAGGAGATCTCTAACTATAATAAATGTTTCAAGATGTACTATGTTTCTATATTCAGCCAAAGCTTACATTCATCAGTACTTTTACAACAGGTCCTTTTACCCAGTAGTTGACATCAACCAAATAGAGACTGATAGGGAAGATCCAAAATAGGAAATAAACATCAAATGTATCTTCTGACAGAGGGTCTTGGACCCGAAACATTGACTCACTTTCCTTTCTCCATAGATGCTGCCTGACCTTCTGAGTATTCCCAGTATTCTGTTTTTGTTTTCAGATTCCAGCATCTGCAGTATTTTGCGATTTGATCATATGTATCTGAACCAGTTAGATTAATTTGAATTAAATGGGAAAGAGGGGGCTTTAAAATACACCCATTATACATTATTTAGCATTGTCTCACTTTTTACTGAGTTTTAAAACGTTTACATAATTGCATAGTTTATGATGTCATTACATATATCTATTTTTAAGTTAAACACAAAGAATCTGCAGCACTGAAAAAGGCCAACAACCAAATCAAACTGTGCCCTCTCCCTTGCCTCCAGTCTCTTCTCTGTAATCTACGTATTGAGTTTCCTTTTAAATGCATTCATTTCACTGTAATATAAATCATTCTGTACAATATTACCCGCATTAATAGTAAATCAGTAAAATAATACTCAGTGGCAACTTACTATAATTTTTTTTGTAGGATATCAATAGTTTGGGTAATGGACTACCGTTAATAATAATAGTAAGCCTTGCATTTGGTAACACTGTACTTAATTGTAACTATAGATCACATCTATCATGGGTATTGTCAGGAAGGTGTCTTAAAGCTACAGGATTTACTGTATGTAGTAACTATATTTTGGGTGAACATATTTGCTAATTTGTGCACAGTGATGTCCCACCCATGGGTATTGTTGGATAGGCCACTGGGTGAAGCAGATAAATCACAATACCCATGGTAGATGTGATCTATAGTTACAATTAAGTACTGTACGTAGTGTATATTCAAAAGCAAGGTCTTAAGACAAACATAAAACATTGCATATCAGATGTTAATATTACAAATAAGTCAAATTTAATTAAGGTTGAATATCCAGTCTGGAATATTCCTTTAGGACCCACTAAAAGGGGGAGAGCAAAGACATATCTGGGACATGCTCTGCCAGTAGAGGGTTTTCTGGTTCCAGGCATGTCCAGATCATCCCACAGGCTAGTCTGGAATTTCAGGTCTTATTAAACTGAATGAAGCGGTTCCAGGATGAATGCTGGCCATCCCTGTAAAACACAAAACCAGACTGGCTGAGGAGAAAAGTGGAACCCCAAAATATAACGGGTAAATATTTTTTCACTATTTTAAACGTTCCCTTTTAAGCATGTTGTGACTCTTCAAATCATGTACAGTATTTAGATGAATTCTTCAGGAAAGAAGTTACTTCCATGTTACTGCTGCAAATGTTTAAAATAGTGGGAAAATATTGTTTCATTAACATTGTTTCATTAAAAAAAGTTTGATTTACCTGAGGCTTTCCCCCAATGTTTCTTTCTACAGAGCTTTCAATATAGTATAGTTCTTTAAAAAGGCATCCTAGAAAAGCATTCTTCTTAGCAATACACGGTTCAAAGAATTTTACGGGCACAACATTTTTGTCGACTAAATGGGTAACTAGCAATCTGCCAAGATCATAATTATTGAATGCAGAATTGTGTTTTATTTATTTCTATCTCTTAATTTTCTCCACAAAATCTAGTACATTACTGAACTACAAGCACTAAATCAGACCTCCCAATGTGAAAGCCATCATAAATGCAATTTGTTGTTGTTGAATTTCAACCAAAGTTCAGACAGCTGAAATAATTTATGTTCTTCAACCATGGTATAATCATAAATATGTCAATTGTACAACCAGTAATTTGCCAACAGTTTAGTTAAAGGGGCATTGATTTTATCCACAAACGTTAGGAAAGCTTTTATCTGAATTTACTAAACATTCTAAACCCTGATGTAGTTTAGTTCAAAACCACCATTGTGTTGCAAACATAATATTATTAGGGCATGATGTCATTGTGAAAAACAACATGTACTTGTTTTTCCACAATGACATCATGCCCTAATAAAAACACTGTTAAGCGATTTGCGCCTTTCAATGTGATAGGTCTCTATATCAAATGCAAGTATTAATAATAGTAAACACAATGCTTGATTTCCATGTTACAGGTGAGTGGAATGAGGAACCTGAAGTTCCTATTAAACAGTTATGTAAATCATATTTTCCAGGAACTGCATGGCAGCGCCGTGGGACGTCCTCCTGATGTGAAACGCGCTATACAAATGTAATTTGTTGTTGTTGTACCAGCTGACCTGAAGCTGAGAGAATGATACTACCAACATTTTCACTTAGTCCCTCACTGATGAGTTTATTCAGTAAGAGATTGAGCTACACAGATTTGGGTCCCTTTTTTGATCTCCAGTCTGAGCTGCAGATAACTGATCTCAGCCAAGGCATTCATCACTAAAGGTGGTAGAATTGGCCTGATTACTCCAAGGTTAAGAAAATAAAATTCAATCAGATCCTAACCAACAACAACTTGCATTTATATAGTGCCCCTCCCGCTGGGTAGTGTCCCTGACCGCTTGATGCACACCCACCCAGATCTACATTCTAAGCCCAAAATCTCATCTAGTCCTAACCCGTAAACCTATTTGTCTTAAAATGTAACAATCAATCAGAATTCTTAAATTTTGCTTCAATTTGCAAGCCAGTTCTTTTTACGAACGTGTAAAACTGGCTTCCAAATTAAAGCTGAATTTAGAAATTTTGCACTATTCTACACAATTTAAAAATGGTCTTACAGGCTCAAGAATGGGGGAAAGGTGGAATTTCAGAATACGGATATCCAATATCTGGACATCTGGCAAGTGTTGTTAAACAATAATTTTTGGCTGATTTTTCCTTCCTTAGTTTTGGAACAAGATAATTGTATCAACTTCACTGCCACTTTGACTGAGATGGATTACATCAGCACAGACTGGAAATCAAGCATAAGAGCTGCCTAAAGGCTCAGTAACGCAATATAGCGCAGTTACTGCATCTGTTGAGCTTTCAGATAAGTTCCCATTCTAACATTTGCTAGAAGCCAATGCAACATGAAGCATCCTTATGTAGAGGTTTAAGTTCCAAAGTATATTTAGTCAAATTACAAAAGTAGAATTTGTGCTTCCTAGAATAAATAATAATCCTTGAATTTGATATAGCGTCTTATTATGTTGTTGCATTTGATATAGTGCCTTATATGATATCATGTTATCTCAAACTATTTCATTTGATTTTACTGTAATTTGTATTTGGAGGCTATGGTATTACTTATTGCTTAAACATCTGGGTGGAGCACCTGAACACAATTGGGAAGGCATTTGTAGTTTATTTGGAATTTCAGTTTAATCTCAGAATCCTACCTTTAACCACTTTTACTTCTCAATTAAATATTTACTGTTATATTCCATTAACACCAGTTCTATGTTTGTGCAATGTAGATCAAACTTATTGCTTCAACTCCATGGTAAATGAAGGAGTCCAGAAGAAAGAGAGCCAGCAAGGTTCACACCTTGACTAGCAAAAATCCATTCCTTCCCTCAAATAACATAGCTATTAGAATATCATCTATTGAAGATGTAAAAATAGCATTGACACTGCTGGTAGAAACTATATAGTTGCTTCAGAACCTGACTTGGA